CAGCAGGTGAACAAAAACACCCACAAGAAAAGAGATCAAATGTGTATTTTCAACATTTTAAATCCGAGCTTAAACTTCACACAGAGGTCACTCTATAACCAATTCTACCTACTACCAGTAATTGCTCTGTGCCTTTGAGTTACAAGCCTCTTTTGTTAGTTATGTTAAAGTAACCTATAGTATAAGCTGCACTAAAACGAAAGGTCTGTTGTAAGCTACATTGGTATCAACCCAGCGTAATAAATTGGATTCTTATTAAGACAGGCAAACAAGCCAATTAAGTAATGCAATATGCCAATCTTAAGTATCAAGTAGTATTTGTTTCCTTACATCCAGAGATTTAGGAAAGACAGGACGGTTCAGGAGCAGGTACTAAGCCACCCACAAAAATCTGAGGACTGGAGCCCACACACATGCAGCACGTTACTAATGACTATCTCTGCTGGATTTACAGCAGAGTCACAAAAAGGCCCACAGAAAAGAAAACAAGTAGAGGTGGTCAAACACTGGAACAGGTTGCCCAGAGTGTCCATCTGTGCAGATACTCAAAGCCTGACTGGACACACTCCTGGGCAACCAGCTCCACGGGGTTGAACTACATGATCGTGAAGACCCTTCCAACCTTAAATATTCTGCAATTCTGTGACTGGATTTCTCTGTCATCGAAGCTACACTGGTTTCATTAAAATAGTAACATAAACTGATTTAGTTAAAACTGATGTAAAACAAAAACTGGGTGTTCTCAAAGCAATTTAAACTGCTACTAATTTAGCTAGGCATCGTAGTGATCTATCTTAATTGAAATACGACCAATTAAACAAAACATGTGGCTAGTCAGCCACTTTATTTTTGTCCAATCTTGTTTTGAAAACCAACCTGGCTATTGAAACAGCTGTAACTAAGGTGCAAGATTGCAGTGGCAGAGGTTCAAGCAGCAAGTGAAACAGGTATCAACACAGACAATTTCCATTTCTGGTCAATGAAAAGTGTAAAGTACCCACATTAAAATCATAAAGCTAGGATTATGACAATCAGTTTGCTTTGACAAACACTTACACAAAACATCACTATGCAGGGAGCAAAACTCTATTACATGAAACAACAAAATACCAAAAGAAATACTCACACTTCTCTAAACTGGCACTACCACCACTTGTTGGTGCAGCCTCAAAAGAAGTTCCCCGCACAGTGAATACTTTAATTGCTTCATCACATTGCAAAGTGCAAAGAATATTTCCTAAGAGAGGGGGGAAAAAAAAAAGGTCACATTATATTCTTCAAGAAGATATCCCAGGCTTTTTAAAAAACAAATACAATTACTATCAGAAACACATCAGCAGCTCTACCAGAAGAGGTAACAGACAGAAAGTTACTTCCCAAAATTGAAGTTTTAGATAACTAGAACTTGAAAGTCAGGCACTTAATAAACATAAATTACAAATATTTTCATTTACTTTTTAGCTCCATGTTTCTGAAGTTTGATAACAAATCCTGCTTTTAAAATGACATAAAGCATTCAGATCCTCTCTTATGGATGAGCTTGTAAATTTCAGAAAGGGGAAAAAAAAACCCAAACAACTTTAAAAGTGTCATACTTAAACATAAAGGGCACCTATAATTCAAATTTTGTCCTGTCACATGAATTCATGAAAACAGAAGGCCTGCCCCTACTATCTGTGGGATTCTATTTCTCTCAGTAATATATAATACAAGCTATTTACTTCACGTTGGAGGCTGCAGGGAACACTAAAAGAGAAAAAACACTGCAACACCAGCTATTCATAAACAAAGTCATCTCAAAACTGTGAATTACTGGGAAGCAACTTAGAAGAGCAACACAAAATCACATCCTGGTAATGTAACTCAATGTAATACCACACTGGTACACATGATACGACCTTGTACAGCAAAATTAAGAAAAGCAAGCTAATGAGCTCATATCAAAATTAAAACACAGTCTAAGACAAGCATTAGAGAAACAAGACTGAAAAAAGAATTGCAAATTAAGTCAATTTAATACTATAAATAATTAGTTTAATGTCTTTCTAATTAGGAAAAATAACCCTGTGGTATCTTTAATCAGAACTAATGCTAGTCATATTAAATAAAGCTGGACAATGAACTTCATGTCTTATGTTTTACAAAATCTGATCAGAAGTACACTAACAAATAAATGCAGGATGCATAAAGGAGATTACCAAATTCTATTAACTGAAGTGACAGACCTGGCTCCTAACAGATAGTATCGAAATTGCTGGGATTACTTGCTTTCTCACCCATGGAGCATCATGTCCATCCCCAGACTTCATTTTTGTGAGCCACAGCAATTCAGATTGTAAAGTGAAAATTCCTATCATATTCCAAGGTTCTAAGAACAGGATTATGTAGAGAAGTTACCAGTATGAGGTCCTTTACTGCACAAATACCACATGCCTTTGTGATTACCCACCTGCATAGATTGTTCTCACAAAGGTGTCTGGTGACTGAATTTCAATAATGTCAGAAACAGGGGCAACATCAAGTTTGCCAGCCACTCTGGGAATAAGATTCTAGAAGTTAAAGATGAAAGGTCAGCAAAGTGAAACACACATAGTCAGTAAAAGAATGCCTGCTTGTCCCAATTTTAACTTCACATAATGCTGTCTGTAAGTACAAAAGCACAAACAACTAAGATTTTTGTAGGGCTACTCACATAGCTTTAGCAGCCAAATAAAATCTCATTATTGCAACGACATTAAAAGTTTTATGAGACTTACCATAAGTAAACCCTTAATTCAGTATCTTTAATTAGGAGGGTTATTTGCTCCAGTAGTTGAAAACTGAATCTAGATGCAATTTGCTCAGAATACTGACAATTAAAGATTGCTGAGCTCTTGGCATTTCAAGGGGAAAAAAAAAGGGGGAGGGGGGAGGCATTTTTTGGAAGTTAGTTACCACAGAGACAAGAAAAATCCACCACACTCTCCCCAACAGCCAAAAAATATTATTTCAAAAATTATTATTAAATTGTTATTCGCCTGAATAACAATTCTGAAATGGACTCGTAGAAAATTACTTAGCACCTTAGGAATGGGAAGGAGAATAAAAAGAGCAACATAAATCATGAAAACAATAGTAACAGCAAGAGCTTTGCTTGCTTTTTGTCCCACTCCTAATCTGGTACAACACAAAGGGCCCATGCCTTTACTCACATGAAACACTTAAAACCAGGAGTGTAAGCTTTAAAGCAAAAGCTATTAACCTTTATTAAGATACTTCAGATCAAAACTATAGAGAAAAAATAAAATAAAAACCTCTAAGATAAGTTAAAGACTTGCCTTAAAAAAAAAAGTATACAGATTGATACTGATTGGAAGTGAAAGTAGTCAGACAGAAGGCTGATGGCATCATTCATCCTACATCAGCCAGATTTTGAAAGTTTCCTTTTTCTCTAGTTCAGCTGCATCACAAAATTAACCAGACTGTTAGTACTGAGGCTCTCCACACACTAAGAAACACACTTCTTCAGAAAGAAGTTTTGAAAAACTATTTTCATTAAGAAACATCTTGGCTAGGACTTGGGTCTGCTATTTAAATACTTACAGACATTTCAATGTATGTGACTTACAGGATAGATGCAATTCCCCCCCTCAAAAAAATTTCCTTAACAGGTCTGCACACTTTCATTTCAACATGAAAATCATACAGTTTTCATCTCAATGTACTGTGCTTTTCCTTACAATTCTCATTATGCTTTCAGATCACTTCATCTAATTCCTGTTATTGTACATTTTGCCTTTTGTACACAGAACTAGCTGGTTACCACTGAATGCCTCTTCTATGCAGTTCCTTTGTCCAAGTCAGCCCATAATAAAACTCAGACAACAGGGTTTCCAACTAGTAAGTTTTTGCAAACTCAAAGCTGTCATGGCTGACCTCTCTGATTCACACTCTTACATGCAACAGTGCCTGTCCCTTTTCTGAAAGAAAGTTTTGATGCAGTTTGATCTACTTACCTTCCCAAAGGCAGATGCTCCAGCACAAATGTGGGTGTAATTATACTTTTTATGAGTTTCCAAAATCAAGGGAGTCAGTTCCTCTGAGGATAAAAATATATTGCTCGAAATTAACAAGTATCGATTGCAAATATAAACACAATTTCTTTTGCAAATGGGTAAGAGCCACTCTCACCTGCTAGAAATCCCTTATATGCATCATGCTGAGCCACCAGAACTTTTGCAACACCCTGCACTTGGCTGACTTCTTGCGCGACCTGTGATTATAGATGAATTATCATTAGCTTGCATTATAACAGGTTCTAGAAACAAACAAGAGTCCCTGCTGGAAACTGCTCACAGCCTACAGATGAGTTAAAACTGGAACACAAGACTATCTGAATTTCAGAATCGGAACAAAGCTGATGGAACAGATTACTGCTCAGTATTCTGATACAATCATCAAATACTTTGTTTTAAATCAATCAGTATCTACCACACAAACATACAATACAAATACAGATGTACAGCAACGTTAGGAAATTGGTCCAAACTTTAGGAGCAATCCTTTGCTTGCAACTGACTGCCTACTAACTCAATGCATATTTTCAATTCTGTATTTATGCATTTTTTCCTTTAGATTTGCAGAAGTGAAGTTTAAATGATAAAAGGGTTGTTGCAGATCAGAGAGAAGAGGACTGACAGCATTGTCTAGAGACCACATGCATCATCCCAGAACTACACTGAGTTTGCGGAGTATCAGTTTACCCTCAAAACTAACAAGAAATAAACAAAAATCCCATAGTAGCTGTTCCAGAATATCTGTTTGAGTAACTGTCTCTTTTGTCCTCTCCATACAGATCTTAAAAAGAAACTTAAAAAAAAAAAACCCCAATCAAATAAAACCAACCTTCCTGTTTGTAAAGTACTGTTTCCCCGAATGACATACATTGCCAAATAGACACCATATACATACTATTACAAAAACAAACAAAACATTCTCAGTCATTTTTCTACTGTGCAAGTGTTGAAGAATAAGGAAACACAAAGACAGACATATCAGGCAAAATTCCTTTTATTTTCTTGATCTAGATAACTGTTTGTTTCCAGGTCTCCACCTCGAACACCTGGCTCTCAGTTTAGAATAGCCACTGAGGTTTCTCCACCTTTTTGTGAATTAGCTGCCCTAAGCATGTCCCCTGCATGAGATATTACATATCGGCTTCAGAAGAACAACTCATACATAGCCTAGTATGAAAAATATTAGGCAGTTATTTGTACTTCTACTATTCACACAATACATCGTGCTGAATAGACGTGTCACTAATGTATTAACTATACTGTCTCTATATTTTGCACATAAAAATTAGACTGACCATCCAACAGCTAATACACAAGAAACTTTTTAGACGTGAGCTATAAAGTCAGGAAATAACTAATTTCAGAATTTTAGGTCGCAAATACACTCTCATTGTGCAACTAGCAGCTGACTAATAAAGAGTGAGATGTTCAGAAGCCCTGTTTGTCACTGTGCTGTTTCATTTCTGCTGGTTTCCACCTGAAGAAAACTTCTTTCCAAGTTCTTAGCACTGCAATATTCGTATTTTGAACTTCACAGGGAAATATTGTTCTAAAAGTCATTTGTCTTTAGTCCTATAAAAATTTGCTTGCATAACAATTGAGATTACTGGTATTCTTCCTTGTGAAATGAAATCTATATCCACATTTCCACTTCAGAAGAGAAGCAGTTCAAGTGCCAGACATTTCTGTCAGATTAGCAATTCCTGGCACAGTTCTTCACTACAGATTATTTTTCAGGCTGACCAAGACGCTGCCAAGTATTGTTTCAGTGCATTCATTATTTTGCTTGTACGAAAATAACATCTCCTACCTTGTCGCAGCTGGTACCAGCTACTAAACAGGAAACTTCACCTCCAAGATGTTTTGCCGCAGTGATAGTGTTTAGTGTAATGGGTGTAAGAGACTCATTGTTGTGTTCTGCTATGACTAATGTACTCTGAAACCTCTGGACCAGCGATGCCTTTAAGAAAGAAACAGAAAGGAGTTTGATACTTAGCTTTACAGAAAGTTATCAATTACATAAACTGTAAAACACTGCTGTCAAACAAGAGGCTGAATCTAAATAATATGTATTAAGCAGGCACAATACATAAGGTGTGAAAAAAAGAAAAGGCACAAACTTGTTTGCTGTCAGCCTATCTGTAACACGCTGTGTTTAAATCAAAAGCGCCACAGGAAAATACTTCACAATATTAAGAAAAACATTTTAATACATTACACTCAAATTCAGTTGATCAGCTTAAGTACCTTGAAAAGTGAAAATTAGACCAGCAAGACTAAGACAGAAGGAAATCAAGGGTAGCAAATATTTACCAGTTCGGTTTCTTTGGGTTAGGTGGTTTGTTGGGGGTGTTGGAAGCTTTGGTTTTGTTTGGGATTTTGAGAGCTGTTTGGGTTTTTTGTTTGGTTGGTTGGGGTTTTTTTACTGTAAGTTTTAGACAAACTCTAGCTACAGAAGACACTTTAAATTAGTTATCTATAAAGGCAAACTTGCATGCAATGGCAGGATGGCAAATAAGCTGCAAGGGCTTGCGGCCGGAAAACACACTGATAGAGCTATTGGTAAGCATCAGGTTCATTTTTATTTCTGTTCTCCTTTAAAACGTTTGACACTTCAACCACTTAGTCTACCACCACAATTTAATGGTCCTTAAATAATAATTTCCCCAATTCAGAGATTTTAACTTCAAAAGCAAAAAA